CCCCCCCCCCTCCAGTCCCCCCTCCCAGCCCATCCCTGGCCTGGCTTTGCCGCAAACGAGCTCCTTCCCCTCCTTCCAACCTGCAAGTCCCCTTTGGATGTAGGTGCAAAAGCCATATATTGTACGCAGCCTTTTCTAGCGTTAGGTATTTCACAATTGGCTTTTAACTCTTGGTCTTGATAGAAACACACACGCAGGTCAAAAATCTAGAGACGCAATCTATACTCAACGAGAGAGAAGAAAACTTCCACGGAGAAAAAGGAGAATTTAAATAAAATATATTTTTCTAACGCATACGGAGCAGACACGGGCAGTGGTGCCAGTCCCAATCCCCGTTTCTTTGCACGGTCCCTTTGCACGAAGAGTTGGGGCTGCTGGGAGCCGGAGGTGGGCGAATGTGTTTCTAGGGAGCAGCTGCCCTGTTTTTAACTCTTCCCTTAACAAACGGCTGGAGGTTTTCCAGGAGAGAAGAGCTGACTCCCCGCTCCTTCACTCGCGGCGGCCCCGGGGCTGCCTACCTCGGTCAGAACAAATCCTCAGGTCAATCCAGCTATTAAAGGAGAGTTTTTGTTGCTGTTCTGCCTTCCCGTGTGTTTGTGGGGCTACCCCAGCACCCCCCCACCCATCCCAAACCAGGAGCTGGGTGTCCCCTGGGACATGGGCACGATGGGGGGGACAGCTCCTCTCCCCCTGCCTTTAATCCCGTTAATGCCATCCCGGCGTCTGAAACGCTGGCAACGCAACCAAAGTGGCTCCTTCTCGGGAGTTTTATTACCTTCCTGGTGTCCTTAAAGACAGGTTTATTTGGGCACGTGGTGGGAGCGGGGAGATTTATTATGGGCTTTATTCCCATCGCCTCCCGTCCTTCCTCAGCTCCGGAGCAAGAGCAGGCTCCCGGCAATTTATCCCGTTTGGCCCATCGCCCTCTTATCTGGAGTTGTTGGTGAAATTCCTTTATTTTTTTTTGTATAGCGTTGGGTTTGCAGCGATCAAGACGCACACCGGGCGCGATTTGTTCCGACAGACATCATCTGCAAGAAGGGACAGCGTTCCCTTCCGCCCCTCGGAAGTAATTAAACCCCAAAAGCCAATTAATCTCCAAGATAAAACAATTAAGAGGCAACATTGCGT